TGGAGTGGGTTACAGAATATACTGGAGTGGGTTACAGAAGATATTGGAGTGGGTTACAGAATATACTGGAGTGGGTTACAGAAGATACTGGAGTGGGTTACAGAAGATATTGGAGTGGGTTACAGAAGATACTGGAGTGGGTTACAGAAGATACTGGAGTGGGTTACAGAAGAAGACCAAGAAAAGATATACACAGTTTTATTTGAGAATTATTTATAAAATATTAACCCTAAAATAAAAGAATATAAAACCACTACTACTAGGTTTTACTAAAGAGTAACCCTTCCGGTGGGTTGGGAAAGTTTGGTACTAGTAAAGGAAAAGGTAGCTTGTAAAAGTCAGCCAATGAAATTCACGTGTCACATCATTCACCACGTGACCAGTTTCATTTCTGTCGAGTTTCTCTACTTATACGGCCAGTTGAATTTAAAGTAAGTGTTTCTACTTTTTAAAACAAAGACCAACACATTTGCCACTAATGGCCTACCTGGAACCCGTCTATGGCAAAGTTAAAATAGATATAAACATCCATCCAGCCGCATCCACCTGGCGCTGGTCTGTACTTGTCCAGGAAGAAGTGTATACCGAACAGCGGAACAAGGATCAATGTTGCCCGGACGGCTTTCCTAAGAATATTGTGTTCATTAAATATGGTGTTCTTCAACAAAATTTTGATATATCAACCAATATATCATCACACCCATTCACACGAGACTATATATAGTTTAATCAGTTTTCAAACTTTTTTATGACGAAATAGCCAAATTACAAACTATATGCTAATCATCTGGTCACATGTGAACTAAGCATGGCTGGCAGTGAACCAGTCCTGTTGACGAGATCAACAACATACACGGTTCAGGATGATTCAGAGCTATTAAGCTCTACTGACGAGAGTACATATACGCTTAAGACGTTCGTAACTCATGTTGACAAGGCAGGATGGAAGTAAATGTTATCACCGAGTTTGAAAGGCACGATGCATTAGTTGGTCTGATAGAGAGACGATAACCTTTCTGAAAAGAACAGATTAGCTTGTGGGTTAAAACAAATCAATTACTGATAATCAAGAACAAATGAGACCGGCCAAAGAAGAACCTGTACGTTGCTTTAAACCTCTACACCATAAACTTGCTTGTGTGTCTCTCCGTAACGAAAATTTTCCAGCTTCCCGATTTCTGACAATCATGAACCTTTTAGGGGTTCGTGGGTGTACCCTCATAGGGGATCTAAAACCCATTACTTATTTAATTTTCTATTATATTTCATTTCTGTAGTATATATTGGTGCACATAAGACATTTTAATACCAGAAATAAACGACCTTATAACTCCAAATTACCGTTTTTATTTAATTAGGCACTCAAAGTTTCGCTTTACAGATTCTTCATTTGAACCTTTGTACTGTCAGTTTCGGTTTGTGTTTTGGTGGAATGCCCCGGAAGAAATGTCCCGTTTATTTCTAATATTAAAATTTCCTATTTTACTGAGTCTTATAATCATTTCAGTTTTTCTCCTTATATAGTGCTTACCCCACCCACTCCCAAGAACTCAGATCAACATGAAAGCTTTTAGGGGATTCGTTCTTGAAGCGGGGTCAGGCCTCGTGAGCTACCGTAATTACAAGTTAGATAATATAGTAACTCAAGTGTAAAAAAGATGACCAGGGGAAATTTCTAGAAAACTTTATGCTAGTGTTCAGTAGACTTGTATGGAGAGTGACGCCCTCGTGAAGAAAACGAAATAAATGCTGTGCGTGGAGCGGGTACCATATGGTTCAGTAGTAAGGGTGTATTATATAAATAATGAATAAAATGTCTAGTGAGTTTGTAATACCTCAATATGGTTAAATAGTAAGGGTGTATTACATAAATAATGAATAAGCTGTCTAGTGAGTTTGTAACACCTCAATATGGTTGTAACACCTCAATATGGTTCAATAGTAAGGGTGTATTAGTGAGTTTGTAACACCTCAATATGGTTGTAACACCTCAATATTAGTGAGTTTTAGTAGCACTTTGATTCAGGGTATTATTGTTTCCAAAAGAACATATAAAAAATTATTCACCTCCGCAGTTTTAGTTGTTTAGAAACACAAAAGCTACCTACATAAAGCTGTCGCTAATTTTGAACTGAAGGGAAAACAGCAAGTGAAGAACATCCACCGCCAACTTTTGGGCTAACTTTAGTTGATGGAATATTGAGACTGAACCATCCCTTGTCCCTCAATAGATCAGCGGTAAGTTTACGTTTCTTTCCCAAGTGGACAAAGAGCAGACAGCGCCTCGTGCAGCTTTACGCTAAAACTATCTATAATATATATATATAATATATCCCCACTCATATACCACAACCAAGATTCCAAAGGGGGGGGCACGTTTTTGCTGCAGCGGGTCGAGAATCGTGTATTCGCAGAGTGATAGTCCGGGTACTCCAAACACTAGGCCACACCTGACCCATTTTACCTATACATTTTAAATGTGTTTATCGTATACTACAAAGAACTATTAGAACACGAACACTAATCTAAAAACAAAACATGCTTTACCCAATACACTCCGAACCTTCTAGAAAAAAAATGTTGTTATGCATTTCTCTTAATAATAAAAGTTGCTGTAAAAATCTCCCATAGTTACCTGTACTGACTGGGTTCGTTCGGATGAGTCGCTTTGATTTTAGTAACCAGATTTCTGACTATTTTACAGAGAAATGCAAGGTTAAGCTAGAAAATAAAAGGAAAACAATTGTATGACAGATAAAATATCTTTACACGACCAAATAATTTAAACTTTTTTTTACAAAACAATATTACAAAAGAAGTGACGTAAACTACAAGCTAATGAAAACATACATTCAAAGGTATGTAACAAGGTCACTTGACATTCAAAGGTATGTAACAAGGTCACTCGACATTCAAAGGTATGTAACAAGGTCACTCGACGTTCAAAGGTATGTAACAAGGTGACTTGACATTAAAATAGAGCACATGACAAAGGAATGTAACAAGGTCACTCGACATTCAGAGGTATGTAACAAGGTCACTCGACATTAAAAAACGTTATATTTGTTCATTTGTTGTTTGTTACACACGTGATCAACGAACTGATGGAACTCAACTCATTCTAAATAAAATGCATGTCACCAGTTTTCTATTTACGATCATAATGTTTTAAAATCCCGAGAGGGAAAAGTTAACTTTACACAGCACATATTTTTTTTTTTCACGTGCAGCTCTTGTCTACTTACCAGTAAACTAAGCAAATAGGGACCATGCATAATCCATTCGTATGTTCCTATTGGAATCACCCAGCATCTGGAAAAAACCAGAGGATCTGCTAAAGAACACTGGCCAAGTTTTTTCTGTATTTACGTTCCTTGATGCATCTTAAGACTACAGAACAGAAATAGTTTCACGTGTATTTATATATCGATGTTGTTTGAACAAGGAGATTTGAAGTACACATCAGACTGGGTGCTCTAATACGCGAGTCTCAAGTGTCATCAGGTCCACTTGTTTACTCTGCAGATGACACTCGTCTGAGTAAAACACTGTACGCCTAGCGGTGTAATGTTGTGTCCTAACGCCCTCCCATTTTGGAAGAAAGTCTTTCCAGTTTGTCTTAGCTCTTGTATTGCTTGGAGTAACACAAAACACACTAAACTTATCTCATATAACAAGTTACGAGCTTCTTCAATACAATGAATGTGCTTTCTTAAAAACTACCAGTGGATCTCAACAACCTAAGTAGGTTGGTTAGAGCGTGTTTTTCAATGAGGTTTATACTTAAACGTGAGCTTCATATCAAACACACACACACACACACTTCTTAACAAAGAAATATGCGATGTTTGTATTACGATATACAGTGCCATCTGGTGGACAGTTTGAATCAATATCTTGTAAGTTTCCTAGTCTCTGGTTGTTACTGTCCTTTACCGTCATAACTATTGCGAAGTAGTGAAATAACAATTTAAAAGGCACGACGTTCTTTACATCAACTAGTAGTGCCATCTGGTGGACAGTTTGAAGCAATATCTTGTAAGTTTCCTAGTCTCTGGCTGTTACTGTCCTTTACCGTC